TTTTGGTGAAAATATGTATTATAATAAGATATATATGTAAAATAAATAAATATTGATTTATATAATTTTCTATCACTAGTAAAATTCCTAAGTACATTTCTTGTCATATGTTTAAAGTACAACTTAGTGATATGCAATAAAGTAAATAAAATAATTAGATATTTAATTAAATTTTATTGAATAACTTTTTACGTTAAAAAATAATAATAATTAAGTGTTAAGTATAGTAGATAGAAAATAACATTTATATAGGTCATATTCAAATAATCAGCTTACTGAACGAGACACTCACTATAGTAATACTTTTATTCGTATTTAGTCATATATTAGGGCGTTTATGGGAAGTTTGTTGTATGGGTATATGAAGGAAAGTCGGTCATTTCATACCTGACCTAAATTCAAGTGTTCAATTCATACTTAACAGTTTCTTATGTGCGATAATATACAAAAATTTTCAAACAATTTAAATTTCATACCTAAATTTACCAGATCATGCGAAATTATGCATTTTATTGACGTCGATGCCATGTCGTTGATGATGTTGATGACGCGGCCGCCACGTCCTTGGTGACATAGCAACGACGACCTTAATTCACCTATATATAAACTTCACGTCATTACTCATAAACACACGACCTTAGAAATCTTATAAGCAAAAAAAAAACTTATCAAACATGAAGAATCTTGTTATATTCGTCTTCTTGTTCTTAAGCATCACTACTGTGATCAATGGTGGAATAACAAGTGAATTTGTCTGCCAAGCTTTACCATCGATTGAGATGTCTCTCGATACTTTCCCTTCTCCTGATGGCTACAACACTCCTGAACAGGTTTGATATTGTCATTCTAATCTTGATTATACAATAATAAAAAAAATCTACAACTACAACTTACACACTTACAGCCAAATTCTACAGCAAATAATCTACAGATACAACCAACAAATCTCCCACATTGTTTTAAGTTTTGGTGTATAGATATTTTATAATTAGAAATGATTGATTAATATAAAATATATGTTAAATACTTAAATTAAAACAAGTTGTTCATTTCATATCATTTGTCTTTTTTTAGCTATGGACCTTATAAAAATTTGAGCCGGGCCTGATAGAGAGGCAAGTTTTAAAAAATTATGAATAGGACTCATGTGCAATACACATGGCATAGGAACCAAGACAACGAGTCTGTTGCTGTTGTTTCTATTTTTTGCACACAAAAAAACTTCTTTCCAGTGAAGGAAATAGTTTCCGGCAACATTAGAATCTAGAGTTTCTTGGTTGTTGATTTTACTTGCTACAACAAAGAAAAAGAAAATAAAATAATTTGGACTTTAACTTTAAAAATAAAGCCGGAGCATGACTAGTACAAATTTGTGGCTTTAGAAAAAATAAAAAGGGCTCTAGAAAGGAGTTAGCGCCCAACCAATCACACTATAAGTTTGTTTTTGTAGTTGTGTTATTTGTAGTTGTAGATTTTTCTGTAGATATTTAAGTATTAAAGCCAGTTTGGTAAAGTTTGTTAAATATTATGGATATAAATCTTAAGTTTATTAATTTGAAAATCTTGCAATATAATTATATAATAAGATAAAAATGAAATATATATATTTCATTAATCTCTTGTGGTGAAAATATGTATTATAATAAGATATATATGTAAAATAAATAAATATTGATTTATATAATTTTCTATCACTATTAAAATTCCTAAGTGCATTTTTGGTCATATGTTTAAAGTACAACTTAGTGATATGCAATAAAGTAAATAAAATAATTAGATATTTAATTAAATTTTATTGAATAACTTTTTACGTTAAAAAAATAATAATAATTAAGTTTTAAGTATAGTAGATAGAAAATAACATTTATATAGGTCATATTCAAATAATCTATAGTAGATAGAAAATAACATTTATATAGGTCATATTCAAAAAAATCAGCTTACTGAACGAGATACTCACTATAGTAATACTTTTATTCGTATTTAGTCATATATTAGGGCGTTTATGGGAAGTTTGTTATATGGGTATATGAAAGAAAGTCGGTCATTTCATACTTGACCTAAATTCAAGTGTTCAATTCATACTTAACAGTTTCTTATGTTCGATAATATACATAATTTTTAAAAAATTTAAATTTCATACCTAAATTTACCAGAGCATGCGAAATTATGCATTTTATTGACGTCGATGCCATGTCGTTGATGATGTTGATGACGCGGCTGCCACGTCCTTGACATGGCAACGACATCATTATCACCTTAGAAAAATAATTTTTTATCTGTTAATCTTTTTCTTCTTCATAACTATCATCCGAGAGAAGTGTGAAAAAATTACATTTTTTGATGTAAGCATTTAAAATCTTATTTTCAATCCTTATAACCAGTATTTCAACCGAATATATTATTTAAACCGAGTTTATAAACTCAAAATTCGTAATTCAAACAACCCTAATTGTCAATGACTATTAATAAAAAATTGTATTATGTTCTTAAAATACAATTATCCCAATCAAATACGTTGTAGAGATTATAAACTCGGTTTAAATATTAGATTAGGTTTAAATATAGCTTATTAGTATCAAAATAAGATTTTAAATCTTTATATAAAAAATAAGTTTTCTACAGTTTTGTTAAATAATTTAATTGAAGACGAAAAAAGTCATGAAAAAATAATTATTTTTTTAAAGGTGATGATGACGTGGCAACGACGTCATCAAGGACGTGGCAACCGCGTCATCAACATCATCAACGACATGGCATCCACGTCAGCAGAATATATAATTTCGCATGACTTAGTAAATTTGAATTTTTGAAAATGTTGAGTATATTTTAACACATAAGAAACTGTTAGGTATGAATTGAACACTTGAGTTTAGATCGGATATGAAATGGCCGACTTTCCGGTATATGAATATGTTCTTGGTACTTGAAAGTTGTTTTTCGCTTTCTTGAGTATTTAATGTTGCATGTGTATAAACTTTCATATCATAGAATCAAATCTTCGTTTTTCATTCTCAATCAATTATTGAATATTTGAATATATAATTAATCAAAAATCGAATATCATTTATTAAGAAAATACTAATATTGATCGTAGTGGAGTACTAAAAGTCTAAAACTAATCTCTTTTTTCCAAGCAATCATAAAAGAATGTTACCGAAATACACCAAAAACTAAATAAATCATTAATTTAAAAACATGTTAAACGAAAAACATTAATTATCAATGATTCATTGCTTTACATTCAGTTGCAAAAATCTAGTCAAAAACAAACAAATCCCAAAAGCAATCCCTTATTTAGCACACAAAATCCGAATATTCCAAAATGTTAAAGAACACACAAGATTACAAGAACAATCCAAACCTAAAGGAAAATGTTAAAACCAAAACATATCTTTAACGAATCATTAGTTTAAATTCGTTTATAAATTCTTCCCAAAACAATCAAACCATATTAAACTATATAAACTTGTGCTCTATCATAGAATCATGACTAACTCAAACTTCAATTATACTGAAATAGGTGCCTAGATTTAAATTAAAGTATATCGAACTGAAATTATCAACAAAAAATATTTTACTTCAAAGCATCGGTTAGAGAACAAAGTAATTGCAGTAATGATTATAGCTTGGTCATTTATTTGCAAAATCGACATATGGAAACGTCATAAATATATTAATTTGTTTCGCAAATTAACTTGGATTTTTGCGCTATTTTGACCCAAAAATTTGGGAAAATTTGGATTTGCGCTCTTTTTTTTTTTGTAATTCTCTTTTTAACATCAAAATAACGACGTTTTGAGTGACAATGTTGGGTTCGATCATACTTTTGTAGTTCATATAGTAAATTAAAATTTTAAATTAGTTCATGTATATATAGTTCTAGGCATGGCATCTAAGTTCGTTTTATATAAAATCATTTGGCCCTTATTTCTTGGTAGATTTTATCGTTTCCGATATAAACATTTTGTATCGGTGAGCAAGTAAACTTTGATAACTTGTCTAAATTAATTTAGAAGCAGCTTCCATGACAAAATAATTCGCAATCCACAAGAAACTTATTGTTGGAAAGTTATTGATCTTTAGTGAAAATAAAGAAATAATTCGAACCCACAAGAAACTTAGTAATCTTTAGTGAAAATAGCCATAAACTCATCCACAAGCTGTCATCATGCTTCCTCACATATCTTTCAAGAAACACCTCATCAAGACAGAAGACATTGAAGAGACTTTAGTTTTGAGCAATATTTTGGACATAAGAGCTTTGATGACATTGCACCTTGGTAAAATCCTATTTACCATGCTGCATCCAAGTACCACAGGGATCGAAAGCACGCCCTCTCGTGGCCAATTCATTTTCTTTACAAGAAACTCAGTCTTCCTCTTAATTGACTCTGCTGATAAATTATGACATGGAGGATAGCACTTGACCATCATCATGACCTCATCTTTGTTGAATCCTAGGCCTAAAAATGTTTCAACGGAGTTCAATATATTCTGCTCAGAAAAACCAATACATCGCGGATACTTCTTGAACATAGAGAGGACCTCATCTTCGACCTCATCTTCGACTAATCCACACTCTTCAAGGTTTCAAAACTCTGAGTTATCTCCAGCTCTGAAAAACCAATACATTGTGGAGATATTCACACTTCTTCAAGGTTTCAAAACATTGAGTTATTGTCTTCTCCGAGATATTCAGAAAAGGACACTTCTTGAACATTTCCCATACATCAAAGCCTACCATTTTATAGGTAAAGACTCTTTCTTCTATTGTTTCATTGCTTAATGTGTAAACAACAATTTTAGCATCGAAAATTCTTGGGGCGAACGGATCGAAACTCATCTCAATAACCTTCATAATGGATTTTTCAATATCTGGATAAAATTCGCATACCTTATAGAAATCCTAAGTGTTAAAATGTTAAGGTCCCTCTTCAGAGTAAGAGAATTTGTAATAAAAGACACAAGAATTGACTGGTAGTTAAGACTACCTATTTTTGTTGTTTTCTAATTTCTTAAATAGATGAAAGATTACAATGAAGCTAATAACAAGAAACAGAAAGTGGAGTCATTGCTCCTACAAAACAAGAAGTGAAAAGATGGAGAAATGCTTTCCTCAAAATGAGGATGACTATTTCTCAATTATTGTTGCAAATAAAACAAAAGAAAGAAGTCGTCAGTTCAGGTACTTGCGATTCGGCTGACGTGGACTGATCTCCTTGTTGCAACCTCACTTGCCATCTCATCACCCGCACCTTCCTCCTCTGGTCTCCTATCACGAACCCACTGATATAATGGCTTTGAGTCTTTGACAAAATCATAGTATGTGATCATATCTTTTTCCTCTTTCATCCTCAAGATATTCGGAACTCTAGTAACAATGTCATTGAGCCTAGAGCTTAAAATTTCTCTGGACTTCAAAAACTTAAGCTTGGGACCAAGAGAACGCTCAGCATTTTCCATAAGCAATCTTGGATCAGTCCTAATGATGCGTGAGATCTGAGAATCTGTAAAATCATAACTTCTAAGAAGATTCAGAACAGAATTGGGATTGCACTCGTCCTTTAAGCTGACTTCCTTCAAGACTGATTCTGCGAGTTTTATCGGTATACCAACTGAATCAACAAGGTAAGAGACTGTAAACTTCGGCTCTTTTTGAGCATCTATAGGGCTCACATCATCAGCACTAACGGAGGAGAAGGAACTGGCAAAACAGAGATTACGTTTTGCACAAGCTTCTCCGAAACTGTCAAGTTAAGCCATTTTTGCAACTCGATAGATCTTTTTCCAAGAAAAATCAGAGAATACATGACAACTGACAGAAAAATTATGGTTGCCTATTTAAGAGTCTGCTTATCTGTTCTGTTCGTTAACTTCCATAAAAATCCAAAAGACCAAAAAATGGGGGAGGCGAGAGATAAATAAAACATTTTTTAGGGTTTAGACACAAAACCCTAATTTCGTTTATTATTCTTCATTGACGACATTTTTTTTGGTAACTTAAACTAAGTAAATATTAAAATAACAGTTAGAACTTAGAAGTAACAAATTAGAAAACTGTAAGCATAAGTATAAATATTCTTTCTATTTGTTCCTGATTCCTGAACAATATAGATGATATTAGCAAACTAAACGGGATTTAAAAAACTATCAATGATATTCGTAACTAAGTATATGGAACAAAATCTTTTTGTACTAGCATATTCCTTAGATTCGATTTTATCTCTTCTTTTTTGTTTTTTTTAAACCACCTTAATTAACCTATATATAAACTTCACATCGCATCACATTACTCATAACTCACGACCTTGGAAATCTTAAAGCAAAAAGAAAAAAATCATTAAAGATGAAGAATCTTGTTATAGTCGCCTTCTTGTTCTTAAGCATCACTACTGTGATCTATGGTGGAACAACAAGTGAATTTAAGCGCCAAGCTTTACCATCCATTGAAATGTCTCTCGAAACTTTCCCTTCACCTGGTGGCTACAACACTCCTGAACAGGTTTGATTTCGTTATTTTAATCTTGATCGAGCTAGTAACCTGTTCTTAGATCATTTCAAAAAACGTTCGTCCTACAAAATTCTATTATCGTCATTTGTGTATTAATATGTGTGTTTCTTAAATGAGTTACATGATGGCATATTGTTTATATCGTGACTAAACAATAAGATTCGTATTGATTTTTTTTATTATTGTTGGTTGTTTTTTTAGGTTCATCTGACTCAAGGAGACCATGATGGACGTGGTATGATTGTCTCGTGGGTCACGCCGATAAATCTCGCTGGTTCTAACGTTGTTACTTACTGGATCGCAACTAATGGTAGTGACGTAAAGCCAGCCAAAAAGAGAGCTCAAGCCTCCACGAAATCTTACAGATTCTATGATTATACTTCTGGATTTCTGCATCACGCTACCATTAATGGACTCGAGGTTTGTACTTTGTATAACATCATTTTTATTCATTTAACAACACTTAAAAAAAAAGATTTTTCTAAAGTTTCTATAAATGTATCTATATGGCAGTATGATACCAAGTATATCTACGAGGTTGGTACCGATAAATCCGTTAGACAATTCTCCTTCACTACTCCTCCAAAGATCGGACCCGATGTTCCATACACGTTCGGCATCATTGGTACATTTTTTTGTTTTATACATCTTGATCGAAAACTATAATTAACATTTGAGATTTTAAATCGATCTAATAAATTTTGTTTGTAGGTGATCTTGGACAAACTTATGCTTCTAATGAGACATTGTATCATTACATGTCGAATCCTAAAGGCCAAGCTGTTCTATTTGCCGGAGACTTGTCATACGCAGACGACCACCCGAATCATGACCAGCGAAAGTGGGACACTTGGGGAAGATTTATGGAGCCTTGCGCTGCTTACCAGCCCTTCATCTTTGCTGCCGGAAATCATGAGATTGATTTTGTTCCTAACATAGTAAGATTTACATTATAACTCTTTATAATCTTTGTCTTTTTGTTACTTAGTTTAGTACTTTATGTTTAACCACTTAAATCTTACTAGGGTGAGCCTCACGCCTTCAAGCCCTACACTCACCGTTACCCCAACGCTTACAAAGCTTCACAGAGCACTTCTCCTCTTTGGTACTCAGTTAGACGTGCTTCTGCTCACATCATCGTCCTCTCTTCTTACTCGGCCTACGGTAATTAACAAAATATATCTTAATGCTATTTGAGTTTTTTTTTATATAACATGTTATGTCATTTTAGGAAAATACACGCCTCAATACATTTGGCTTGAGCAAGAGCTGAAGAATGTGAACAGAGAAGAGACTCCATGGTTGATTGTCATGGTTCACTCTCCGTGGTACAACAGTAATAACTACCATTACATGGAAGGTGAGAGCATGAGACTTATGTTTGAGTCGTGGCTCGTTAACAGCAAGGTCGATTTGGTTTTGTCTGGTCATGTCCATGCATATGAGAGATCTGAACGTATCTCTAATATTAAGTACAACATTACCAATGGCTTGAGCTCTCCTGTGAAAGATCTTTCTGCTCCTGTTTACATCACTATCGGAGATGGAGGAAACATTGAAGGAATCGCAAATAGGTCAAGGATTTAAACAACTTTTTAAATTATATTTTGTTGTTTTGGTTATATGAAACTAAAATTTGTGTGTCTTTGTTTATGCAGTTTCGTTGATCCACAACCGAGTTACTCGGCATATAGAGAGGCGAGTTTTGGTCACGCGGTTTTAGAGATTAAGAACAGGACTCACGCACAGTACACATGGCATAGGAACCAAGACAACGAGCCTATTGCTGCCGATTCCATCATGTTGCTTAACAGACACTTCTTTCCGGGGGAGGAAATAGTTGCGAGCAACATTAGAGTCTGAGTTTCTTAGTTCTCGATTTGATTTAAGATTTTTATCTTTCTTTAGATATTATTATGTTAGCAATTATTTGGTTTTCTGTTTGGATTTTTGGTGTTTTTTAGTTTATGCTGGATTTCAATAAAGTTTGTTTGGATTTTAATAAACTTTGTTCCTTTTTTTGAATAAATTCATCGCACTTTATCTCGTTTAAAGTGAAATTAGTAAATTACAATCGTGAGTTCATAAAATTAATTTTACAATTTTTAGTCCTCATAATTTCCAAACCGAAAAAAAAAACACATTACTAGTATTTCATGGTTTTAGGAATACAGATCTTTATTAATGAAAGTAGTTACAAATGCGTTTCACAAAAAAAAAAAAAAAAAAAAAAAAGTTACAAATGCTAGAAGTAAATACTGGATAATAAAGATTTTACTGAAGCCATTTTAAAAACAATGAATGAGTCTGCGCCAATCTAAATCCTTTCGGAGTTTAGTAATAGAAAGACGTTTCAAGTAACATAAGAATAACTCTTTTGAAACATCTCTAAACTAATGTTCTGGATCATCTTTGTCTAAAGAAGAAGATAAGAAGCTCAAGATGAAACCATCTAAGTCTCCTTCAAGAACCGAGTCGGGATCAGAGACTTCGTAGTTTGTTCGCAGATCCTTCACCATTCTGTATGGCTACAAAAACAAAGAATAGTTACTCAGCTCGTTGTTGGATAAACTCAAATTACAACCGAAAATGTGTGAATTCGGTATCTACATACATGAAGAACATAAGTTCGTATCTGGTTTCCCCAGCTGATCTCGGTTAGTGATTGTGTATGTTGAGCATTCATTGCTGTCTGACGAGCCATCTCCAGTTGGTCTAAACGTGATTGTAGTACCGCCATTGCTGAAGCCTTGTTCATATGCTGCGACCTGCATACCAAAATCAAGGATGGGCATAAAAACCAACACAACTTTACTTTAAATCGAACGGAACGAGTTTTTGAAAATGAATCAAAAACAATCTGTCCTACACATTTCTCAAAACCAGATTGTGTCCTACTTCTATATACATCTCTCAAAACCGTGAAAAAAAAAAAACCGAAAAAACAAAGCCAGCCCTAGCCAAAAGTCTGTTTAAATAGGAGAAACGAAGAGTGAAACTGAAACCAGACCTTTCATTCTGGCAAGTTGCTGTTATGCCAGTTGGTATGTGAATGATTCTCACAGCACTGTCTGTCGTGTTAGCGTGCTGTCCACCGGCTCCTCCAGAACGGAACCGCTCGATTCGGAGATCAGAGTCATTGATCTGCACACGAGTGGACCCATCACCTAGAATTGGAATCACTGCAACAGCCGCAAACGAAGTGTGCCTCCGTTTTCCACTGTCAAACGGGGATATACGCACTAGCCTATGAACTCCAACTTCTGCTTTGGCATATCCATATGCGTATTCACCGTTCACTTTGATTGTAGCACGCTGTTCAAGACATTGGATCAATCATAAGCCCATGGTTAAAAATTATAGATTTGACTAATTGCAACTAAACAGAATATTTAGCAGTGTAATAATGGATAAACCACACAACTGGATCCCTAAGTAAGCCAACGGCTATGGATGTGACTCTGATAAGTTTGTGTGTTAGTATAATGCAGGAGTATTGTAATTAACTAAGATGTTCGTAGTGGTAGGCGATGTTAGACAACTCAGCAACTACAGTTGAATCAGTTAGCTCGATAAATAACATGCTAAAAAGACATCAAGCCTTAACATAAACTGGGTAGTATTTGGGATTTGTTTAGGTATTGGGATTAGAAATTGTCTAAGTCTCTCTATGATGTGTAGTTCTTGCTAGAGTGAATAAAGAAACAGTTTACCGATTTGAATTCTATCAAATTCCTACAAGAAAAATGCACGAATCAAATTCATATAAAGATAATAAAACAAACCTTGATTCCTGCTATTTCCCCAGGAGCTTCATCAACCACAGTGACTGAAAATTTACGTCGTTGAGCCCATGTTTTATACATTTCCATTACCATAGATGCCCAATCATTGCTCTCTGTTCCTCCAGCTCCAGCTTGAACCTATCCAACAAACCTTCACGCTTTATAATATGAAATCAGAGACAGAAAAATCTCATGCATATTGTCTCAGAGAGTCACCTCGATATAACAGGAACAAGGATCATTCTCCGCAGATAATAAAGCCTCGAGTTCTTTCTCTTTTGAAACTCTCCTCATATCCATCAATGCCTTCAAAGTATCCTGCAGCAGAAACAAATAATCATGGTTACCAATAGTACAATGTAGCCAGATTTAAACTATGATTCTCAAGTAATTCCCCTATGATTTAACCTACGAGCCGAAACTTTCCGATAAATTAGTAAACACAAGCCTAGATTTTTGAGAAATGAATACAAAACTCACACCGATTCTAACTCTGTATCATTCTCCTCTTTAGCAAGTTTCAACATATCAATATGTTCAAGAAGCTCTCTCTCAAATGTCATAACTCCTTTCATTTTCCCCGTAAGCGAACCGTGCTCCCGGCTTATCTTACCAGCATGAATCGGATCATTCCATAAATCAGGCTTATTCAGCTCTGCAGATAACACTTTTAGCCTCACCAAGAGTTTCTTCCACTGCCAAAAACCATAATAAAGACTATAAAATAGTGTATATGTAGCCAAACTACACACAAATCTCTCAAGTAAAATTTTACCTGTAATCGTCTCTTGATGACTTGAATCGATTGTGAAATTGCTGCAGCGTGACTTTTCCAATCACTTTCATTCTCATCTAAAATCGGCCATTGATTAGCTATGATTCGTTCTACAGTAAGTCCGTCACAAGTCGTAGCCACAGCTACAGCTTCTGAGCTCAATGATCGAGTCGTGGAAACGAAATTACTCTCATAATAAGAGATTTTTCCAGAATTGAATCTGAAAGAGCTTGACGCAGGTGTTGAATTGTAGCTTCTTCGAGAAACCAAAACTGAAGAGCTTGAATCTGGATTCGAGAGAGAGGTACATGAAGAGAAAATAGTTCTGGTTTTGATTCCATTGATGAATCTGCTTCGAGATCTTCTGATGATTAACGATAACATTTCGAAATTGAATCAGAACTTTTGATTTTTCGATTCTTGTTGATAGTTAGGGTTTGTGGTTTATGAGAAACGGCATCGTTTAGACGTTTCGGTTTTTTCGAATTCGAATTCAAACTCGGTTCAATCCGGCTTTTGGTTCAGACTCGGTTCGACTTTTTCGGTTTATTAATATGGTATCCAAATTCCAAATGTATATGGTTTGGTACGGTTTCTGTTGCGATTCCAATTCGAGTTTCAGTCAAATACATCCTTAATTTACGGAAAGATACTTCAGTTTTCTATATAAAAAATCCATTCAAACCATATTAAAATAGGAAAAAATGTAAAAAAAAAAACACCAATTATAAAGGTTTTGACCCTAATCCGCTCACAAATGACAAACCGATTAAAGATTCACAGAACTAAGAATTGACACAAAGAATTTGATAACCAACTAAACCAAGTTCCCGGCCTCCAACCATACGTTCTGAGGAGATTTCTTTCTCCCAACAAAGCCGTTCCTAGCGTTTTAGAGACCATAAACGACCAAAAAATAGATAGTATAATTTTGTAACTCAAACGAAAAGTTAATATCCATTTTATTCAAAGAAATAATAAATTTTATCACGCTTATTAATATAATTACTAATATTGAAAAGTTACAAACAAACAAAAATTCTATTTTTACTCAACAAATTTTTTTAATGTAATTTAGTGTTCGATTAGTTCTAAACATATAATATGTTCAATCCATAAAACATTTCAGATTTACCTAAATATTTTCGTTTAAATTCTTTAAAGATGTTGTAGACAAAGAAAGGGACAATTTTTAAATATGAAAACTATATATCAAAGAGTCTAATTTTTATATATAAAATAAACAATATACAGTATTATGTACAAATTAAGTAAGAAATGGACGTAAAAGAAGAAAAAGTTTATTTGTTTATTTTAAGAGTATGGCTATTGGTTGTTGTTTCATACATATTTCCGTTTCTTCTTCTTTTTACTTCCATTTTTACTTATTACATAATTGAAAAGGGCCAAACTTGAATCCATGGAATATGATATGCTTACAACTAATAACAAAGTAAAAGTTTCAATATTTTATTTCATGGAATGATGCCGTAGACGAGTGTTTCAAATTTGTCAAAGTGGGCACGGCCCTACACCTTGCCCAAGAAATTAGCCGTGTAATTTGGGGTATAGATCATTTTAATTAGCCGATAAACAAAATTTGAGAAGTATGAATTCTCATCATTAATATCAATAGACAATTTAATAATGAGTTGAATATACAGTCTACACCTTGCCCAAGAAAGAACTATTAACTAGATGTATATAGCCACGCATTGTTGCATATTTTTATTTTTTAACATGTCAAATTATTATGCATATATTAATATTTTTAGATATGGTGGAGAAAAATAAAAAATATTTATTTATACAATGATGAATGGTGGAAGTTACATTTAGAAAATAAATGCATTTAAAGAGTTATAATGTTTGTAGATTAGTAGGAAAACATTCAAATTAGAATTATTGTCAATCTGAGTTTAATCAAATAGTAAATGTATTTTAGTGGGGTTAAGTGATATCTTATATTTATTTAGTATGAGTTATTAACATTGATTTTAAATTTAGTATAAGAGCCACACATGAATTTAAATATAAGTTAATTATAGATAAATATTATAGTATAGTATTGTTAGAAAATATTAAGAAGAAGAGATTGAAAGTGAGAAAATAATATATTTTGTAGATATACAAAAAAATTCTTACACTTTAATATATCCAAATTATACAATATTAAGATATATATAATTTTATTAAATATGAACATATATACATATCTTTTGAATTTATTTAATTAATTATTTTTCTACTTTTATAAAAAAATTTCTTTCATATATTTTTGTATTGTAAAAGAGAAAGAAAAAAGAAACGAAAAAAATATTATATTAACGATAATAAAATTTTACATTATTTTTGATTAAACCCAAGGATACTCCCATTTTAAAAAATCTTTTTTATATTTCACTCAGTTTAAATTATAATGCTAGGTTTCATTATAATGATTTCATTTTTGTAGGATTTACATTGATAAGTGTGATTATCAAATTAGTTTAATTAACTTGATTTGTTTGTTGCCAAAAAAAAAAAAACTTGATTTGTTTTAGAAAAAAACTTAAAACCACAGAACTTGAATAAAATAAGCATAATGATCTTTGTATAATTATCTATTGGATAAAAAACTAAATGTAATGGTGAGTATATTAAAAATATTACAAAAATATATTTGAGATAAGAATGAGTAGTTGTAGAAGAAAAAAAAAACTTTAAACCACAAAAACTACATGTAATGATGAGTATATTAAAAATACTGCCAAAACAATTTTGAGATAAGAAAAAGTATTTTAAGAAGTAAAGAAATTAAAGCACACAAAAATTGAATAAAATAAATATTATAATGATATTTTATATAATTGTCTATTGGATTAACAAAAATCAAACATAATGATGATGAGTATATTAAAAATATTACAAAACAATTATTGAGATAAAAATAACAAAAAAGTAGATACAATTTCTTTGATAAATGTATTATACATAATAATTTTGAATTAAAAATATGAAAATTAAAGAATATTCTAGTAACGCATTAGAATTACAACAAAATAAGAAAAATGTAAGATACATACCATATCTAGACATAAAATTTAGAAGCAAACTCTTATAATGATGTCTCAATTGATTTTTCAACCAATGCAACAACATAAGAAAGAAGAAAAATATTTATGATTTCAGATATGGTAGATGAGGATGAGAGAATGATTATTTATAGGATTAGAGATGATGGAAGTTACATTTAGAAAATAATTAAATTAGGGGGTTACAATTACAATTAATAGTGTTTTTGAATGACATTGAGTGTAGAAAAATATTTAATACATAATTTAAATCATTTCAGTTACAATTTAGTATTTAAAAGTATATTAATGTATATGATTAAATATTATTATTTTTAATTGTATTTTAAAAAAAAGAAATGTCAAGTGGACCAATAAGAGGAGAGTGAAACCTTACTTTTATATGTATGATTAAACCTTGCCATAGTTTAGACTATCTTCCGGAAAAATTGTTATGTTAAATCTTTAAACTAAAATAAATATAAAATATTAACAGCCGCGTAATCTAGAGAATATATCATCTTTATTAGCCAATAAACAAAATTTGAGAAGTATGAACTATCATCATTAATATCAATAGACAATTTCAAAAGAATGACTTGAATATATATATATATATATATACCTTGCCCAAAAAAAGAACATAAATGTTATTAGTAATTAAATCATATCCTACTTTGTTTTTGCATTGTTTTTGCTCAGTTTTTGCTCAGTTTTGGTAGTTGTCATCATTAATTTGTGCTGTTACTTGTTAAATTTGAAATATATTATTATGACTCGAAACGAAAAGTCGAAATTATATATGTGTTTACTAGTGCAGGTTTATGATGATATTGTGGAAAAAGTTCCATATAAATCAGAGGCAAAAGAAACCGGTGGTCACTTACTTCTTATTACTGCTTGTGAAGTAGATTGCAATGGTATGAGATTTTGGGAAGCGCATGATTCTTATGGCATCACAGAAGGTGATCAAGGCTTTAATAAGATAGCGAGAGATGTTTATCTTGAGATCATAATTTGAGGTAATTATGAGGTCACTTACTGCTTATTACTGCTTGTGGAGTAGATTGCAATGGTATGAGATTTTGGGAAGCGCATGATTCTTATGGAATCACAAAAGGGGATCAAGGCTTTAATAAGATAGCAAGAGATGTTTACCTTGAGATCATAATTTGAGGTAATTATGAAATGTTTAGTTTAATTTCTTTGCATAATCATGCTCTCTCTAAGCGTACGTAGATTAGGTATTCAGATCTCTCTCACTCTCCCCACCTTTTGTTTGTCTTACTGAAGGGATTATGTTTTGTTGTTATTTGCTAATTTACACAATTAACACTTTTCGTAATGCATTGAGACACTCTTTGGAAACACGCAGAAGATTTTCCTCTATGACCTTGGGTTTTAAAACTCGTTTAATAGGTAGTAAGTCTATTAGTAGATGAATCTTATTTCCAAGCCTTTACTATATTAAATTGGTTAAAAGTACACCACTACTTGACTTGTATGTTGTTTTCGGTTTACAGATTGTATATGTAATGGGTCACTTTGTTTTTCTTTCTCTTCATGTATTTTCGCATGACCCATTAACGTCTATTATGTTTGTATTTAGTCAAACACAATGAAAACCAATTTTTAAATTTGGTTAAAAAAACACCAATTTCTTTTTACGCTTTAAAACACCAATTTTTATTTAGTTTTTATTTAATTACAAAATTTTACCGACAAAACCAATTTATGCTCATTTTAAATGTTTTAACGAAACAGATTAACGGCTTAACCGCATAAGTCTTCGATAATAATCTATGTTGAGTTTTTCAGCAGTCTGATTATGGAGATGAATAACAGAAAGTTAAATGTTAATTCGTTTTGTCAAAACCAATTTATGCTCATTTTAAATGTTTTAACGAAACAGATTAACGGCTTAACCGCATAAGTCTTCGATAATAATCTATGTTGAGTTTTTAAGCAGTCTGATTATGGAGATGAATAACAGAAAGTTAAATGTTAATTCGTTTTGTCAAAACAATTTATGACGGGCCTAAATTAGTTCGATTAACAAAAATTTGTGATTAAAATATAAAAAATAAATAAATTTGGTGATTTAAAGGATCAAAAGATAAACTGGTATTTTTCAACCAAATTTCAAAAGGATAAATTGGTGTTTTTTAACAATTATTAAAATATGGTTTGGTTTTTGGATCAGTATTTCGGTTCTGATCGGCTTAGTATTTATTTATAAACGTATAATAAATAAGGTTAGAGAAAAGGATACAAATGTCACTGCTTCGAAACCTCTTCTCCTTCTCCTTCACTGCAAATTCAATTCTCACAAAACCCTATTTCGCAATCTCAATCAAAGCCATGGAATCTACCTCTGAACTCAATCTCCAATACCCAAAACCCATATCTCCCCCTCCACCTCCAATCTCCAAAGACATTGAACTCAGAAGAGCAATGGAAGCTTCATCAAAATCTAGTCTCTTCAATCTCACAAGAGACGATGTATTATACGAAGACGAACACTTAATGGCTGTGAATAAACCAAAAGGTGTTTATTGTGAAGCTGTTCTTCGCTCTGCTCCTCAAATTGTTCTTGGTTAGTGAATATAAAATCTAATTTCTTCTTCAATTTCTCAATGTTTGTGAATCTAAATCTAATTCGATTTTTTCAGATTCTTCGAGTGAGTTTCATTTAGCGAATAGGTTAGATCGTGATACTAGTGGTGTGATGATTATTACTAAGTCACATAAAGTTGCTGCTAAGCTTGTTAAGGCATTCACAGAACATAAGATTCGTAAATCATACATTGCTCTTTGTATTGGTTCATCTCCAAATTGGAGGAAGATTACGGTTAGTTCAGGTCATGGACGGTCGAAACACGGAGCGTGGCGTGTTTACGCTGCGTTGGATGTTGGTAGAGTTTTACCTGGTGGATCTTTTGTTAGAGATATGGAGACGACGTTTGAAGTTGTATCGGTAAACGGTGGGGAAACCGAATCTTGTGAAGTGGAAAATGTGATTGTTGTTGAGGGGGAGCAAGAATTGAGTTGTGGTGGAGATGCTGTTGTTGTGGTAAGGGCGTTTCCGCGAAGTGGGAGGACGCATCAGATTAGGTTGCATTGTCAGTATCTTGGGATTTCGATTAGAGGAGATGTGAAGTATCATGGAATGTATGAGTGGAGAGGAAGAACATTCGAGGGGCATGAGCTTCATGCTGAGTGTTTGTCGTTGGATCATCCGGTTACGGATGATCCTATTGTTATTCGAGCTCCTCTTCCTTGCTGGGTCACCGAAGATGGAAAATGTAACGGTTGATGGTTAGTTTTCAATGGATAGTGTTAAGATTTTGATCTTGGTTTAACATTGTAGTTTCCGGAATCTCATTTCTCTGCAAAGTAAAGCAACGAGCAAGACATTGAATTAAAGAACGATTTCTTCAATGTCAAAGATGGAAGACTGTTTCCAAATATTCGCGGGGAATTTGTGTAGTTCAATACAAGAACATTAGCAAGAAGGAAGTACATTGAATACAATCCTCTGTTTGCTTTTGTTTTCTCGTTCTTTTGTTTTATAAACTACACAATATGATAGTCCTTTTTGCGTTGAACTCTCGATATAGCAACATGTGTTTCTCATACGAAATCTGCAGCAACAACTTGTACTAGCCTTCTATAATTTTTCTTTTGTTTTTAGCTTGGAAAGCAAATGATGAAACTGAAGTGCAGTGGGCCTTGGTGAATAGGTCAGCTAGTTGGTGTTGTCTCTTGACATGAAGAGTCGTGAAGAAACCAAACACCAAACGTTTTTCAAACCTCATGACAATCGAGCTTGATATACTTTGTTCGTTCGTGAAAAACGGAGTTGCTAGTGATGTATAGCGCAGCTTGGTTATCGCAGAAAAGAACAATGGTATCAACTGGCTGTGAATGTATATCACGAAGCTAGGAGCGCAACAACCAGCCTAGCCAGTTGTAGTGTGAAGATAGTCAAATTCGTTGTAGTTGAGTGTAACACATGTACAGTAGCTAGCCACTAAACGAGTCTTGTATCTCTCAATGTGCCTAACCAGTTTATATTTAACTTTGTAAATCCAATTACATAACTTAATGTTTTCCTTCAATTTAAGAACATATAAATCAAATTCTCGTATTCATGAGAGCTTCCAACTCAAGGTTCATTGCACCAAGCCACGGTTGTAACTTCAATGTCTCTTTAGACTTTAATTCTTCTTTTTCATATGACATCGAAAAGAAAATTTACACAATTCATGAAAGAGTTGATCATAAAGTAAAGGGTAATATTAGAAACAAGATCATGACCCATACTGTACGGGTTAAATTTTATTTAGTACAAAATTATATATATTATATATTTTAGAATAAAATTGATATATATATATATAATATATTAAAATGAATATATTTTCTTTTTTTTTATATAAAACTCAATTATGGATAATTTTTTTTTAAAATATGAAAACGAAAAGTAATATTATTTTTAAAAAATTATTATTTTTTGAAAAATGAATTATTTATTTTAACAGCTACAAAATGAGATTGCATATAATTCAGTTAGATTCAAAAATTGAAATATCATAAATGAGTCGTATCTTAAACGTAGATTATTTTGAGTTAATTAAGGAAGTTAACTATTATTTTGAATTAATTTAGGAAGTTCATTTTTCAATTTGTAAGTCTTTGGTTGTTGAAATATAAATTTATTTGAGCGCTAATTACGGAATTTAGCAATTATTCGCATAATCGAATATGTTATGAACATATTGGTATCTATTTTCATCAACATTTATCGCCGTCACCACCACGAAGCTTGAACCACCGTCATCAACACCAACACCACTGTTATCGCTTCTTCTCCTCTATCCCCAACTTCTCTTATTACTCCACTTTTTTTATCTTCTCCGACATCAGGCCAAGCCTCTACGATAACAACTCTAGTCTATGCACATCGCCGTTCATAATTCTTAATTTTTCTCCATTGCCATATATTCTTTGGGTCTGAATATCATACGCTATTTTTAGAAAACTATTGTGATTCACAGTGTTTGTTTTTATAATCATGATATATTTACAACAAATGATAAATACATGTAATTTTTACATGATCATATTATTATTTTTAATCACCCAATCACCACCTCCGTAACCATCAACCACTACCATCATCACCTCCATAACAATCACATGCTATTCCTATTTCTTTCAGAATGACATGTTATTTTATTAAATGACATTGTTGGATGCTTCTATTTCGTCGTCAGAATTCTAATATTGATTTTTTCCCAGATTTTTTGTGTTATTAGTGTTTATTTCATGTTTTTTTCTCTAAATTGGAATACGCAGTTATATGTTTGTCTTTTGTTTGATAGCCATTTTGCACATATCTGAAAAACGTTAGTTTCCAAAACTTTTTTAACTCATGGCTATTTCTTTAATTATTTTTGAGTCAAATGTTAGTTACTTATATTATCCCAAAAGTATTTTATAACCAAAAAAAAAGTTTTACCAATAGACTGAAGTTAAACAAGGTGGTGTGTGAAAAAATTAGTTTGCTTAGTGAAAAAATACGAGACAACTTATCTTTCTTATATAAAATCACAACTTTGAAATATATATATATATATGTAATTACTAAATTTGAAAACCATACTTAATATAAGAAAGATAATATGTAATTTTCTATTGAAATTTATGATACACAAATGTTTAAAACACAAATTTGTTAAGATGATTAAGGATTAAAGGTGTTTCTTAATTTTGTACGTGGGGGTTGTCAAGTTGACCAAAGCGTTTTGACTGTGTTTCTTTAATGACAAACAAACCAAATAACACGGCACGGCCAAAGTTAAACTCGTGTCGTTTTGGTTATTCAACGATGAACGTTGCGCTGTTTTTTAGTTGCTTCAGTCGTAAAAAAACACGGTGAGAAACAGAGACACCATAGACGACGAACGAATAAGTCTTCTCTTTCTCTTTCGTCTGATTAAGCTTTACACAGAAGAGGAGAGATATGGATCAGATAATGAACAAAGTTGGCTCTTACTGGTTAGGGCAAAAGGCAAACAAAGAGTTCAATTCCGTCGGTGACGATTTCAATGTATCTTTACACTTTCCTTTCTTTTATTTATCTTCACGACTTTGCTTTTCAGGGTTTTAGATTTTGTTTGAGAGAAAAAGCATCGATCTTTGATTTAGGGTTTTTAATTTTGAAGGCTCTTTAGTCTTTTTAATGCTTGGTTTTGTCTTATTGTTTGAGTTACATGGTCTTAGTTTAATAAACCTTGTCGTGTATTAATGGAAATTTCATAACTTTGTAGCTTAATTGAATCTTTCATTGATCTTTAGTGGAGGATTCTTGAGTTGTTATAGAAAGAAAGATTGGAGATTGACCAAGTGTCAATAGCTTAAAGATTCTCAGGCAAAGCCTATATGTCGCCGGTTCGAGTGATATTTGGGAAAGGACCATATATAATGAGGACATTTGCTATTTGTCTAGATTTCATTTTTACTTTTAATGCTGCAATTTGTATCTTATAGTAACATATCATGAAAAAGTTTATTGTTTTTTGATCTCTTGAGACACAAAATGTTCTGAGTTTGATGATATTTGGATTCACTCTTGCAGTCATTGTCTAGCAGTATTGAAGGAGGTACCAAGTGGTTAGTCAACAAACTCAAAGGTTGTTGTTTACTTCTTCCAGTTCTAGTTTCATCATTTTCTTTATCTTTTGTTACTTCAGTTGAATGCTGAATCAATCTTGTTCTGAATAGGAAAAATGCAGAAGCCATTACCTGATTTGTTGAAGGAATTTGGTTTACCAGTTGGGATCTTTCCACAAGATGCTACAAACTATGAGTTCAACGAAGATACGGGTAAGTTGACTGTATTCATCCCTGAGACCTGCGAGGTTGGGTACAGGGATTCATCTGTCCTGCGGTTTTCGACTACGGTAACGGGTTATCTGGAGAAAGGGAAGCTAGCAGAAGTAGAAGGCTTGAAAACAAAGGTGATGATTTGGGTGAAAGTGATTTGTATCTCAGCAGACACATCAAAGGTATATTTCACAGCTGGGATTAAGAAAAGCAGGAACAGAGATGCTTATGAGGTAATAAGGCCTGGTGTTGGTGTTGATAAATTCTAACTTATGGATCAATTTATGGTAAAATAAAAAAAACTGCCTAAGTATATGTTGTACTCCTTGTGTCAAAATAAAACTGATTAATCAAACCTTTACTTCTTAATGTATAAGAATGTTGGTACTTGCTACTTTTTATAGTAGATGTAATAATGAGTAGAGAGCAGCAAATAGGTAGTGGAGCAGGGAACAACATCCTTGAAGCGTTCATGATGACTGTGGTTCCATAAGAAGAGTAAAACGCCCATGTCTCTTCGTCCATTACCACTCGCCTCACGCAGTCTCCAACTCCTTTATATGGACTCCCTTCGAGTTGAATCCTCTGCTTTACCACATCCATTGGGTTTATTATGGTATTGCTCGCTACCGTCGCTACAATCCCCGATGAGCTGTGGTTGTTGGTTGGGTCAGACACACTTGAAGTTATGGTAAGTTTGCAGAGCTCATTAACATAAAACAGTTTAAGCCTCTTCCTAGCTTCCTCAATAATGGTAAGCTAAATACCTTTTTCCTTTGGAAGAGACACCCATGGCTTTGTTCCTTTGCTAATGGTGAACACATTCCCTAACCTCATTGCAAATTCTTGTCCTGTTGAATCTTGAATGTGGATGGTTTCAAAGCTTCCCTTGTGTGTTATCACGGTTCTTGATCACACCAACACGCTCTCTGTTTCTTCCTCCAGTCACCATCACAAAATTGCCCACATCAAACTTGATAAACTCCACTATCTTGAAACCGCAACCATCCATTTCCGCAAACTTCCACCACCACAACCGCTACGGTTAAACCAGTCAAGTCTTAGAACAGAGAATTAAATAGCCTATTTAATTTTTTTTTCAATATTTTCGAAACCTGGATGAAAGAAATTAGGTTATTTTCCAAAATGCGAAAAAAAAAAAAAAAAATCACAGCCGCTGATTAATAAATGAGTAGATCTAATGGTCCAGGTTGTCTTCAATGACATCAACCTTCCACTCATAACACGCCACGTCACTACACCAGCTCGATCATCGGCCACGTGTGTTTCTAATTTTTTTCTTATTATAATTCTTTTTCTTTGTCATTAACACATTCGCGTTTCGAAGAAGATCGAGATTCAGTGAAATCACGAAACCATGTTCTTGTTCGATTGGTTCTATGGAATCTTAGCCTCGTTAGGGTTATGGCAAAAAGAAGCAAAGATCTTGTTTCTCGGACTCGATAATGCTGGCAAAACCACCTTACTTCACATGCTCAAAGACGAGGTTTGATTTGAATTCTTCGATTTTGAATTGTTCTTATAGATCTGTTGATTCATATCTATGATTCATGGATTTTGATGAGAATTAATCAGAATTTAGGGTATTTTTTATCGAATTGATTGATTTGTGTCAAAAATTGAGATCTGACGTTTTTTTTTTTTGTGATTGTGTGAATTTGGTGTTGGTGGTGATTAGAGATTAGTTCAGCATCAGCCAACGCAACATCCAACGTCTGAAGAACTTAGTATTGGTAAAATCAAGTTCAAGGCTTTTGATTTGGGTGGTCATCAGATTGCTCGTAGGGTTTGGAAAGATTACTATGCCAAGGTTAAACTCTTTCTATATTCTCTGTTATTAACCCTTATTGGATTCATCGAAAAGTGTTTGTTTAGTAGGTAAAATCATACATTTGTTGCAAGTATTCTTAAATTTTAGACCTTTAGTGATTGAAACTTAGATGGAAGTTTCTTTATTAAATCATAATCATATTCGAAGATGCAAATTGAATCCAAAAGCAATGCTTGAATCTTTGTAAAATGTTCGCTTACGGCTTACCCTTTTCGGATTCGTAGCACTCTTTTGTTTTATTGGAAGGTGTTTTGTTTAGTAGATAAAACCATAACATTTGTTGCTTGTTTTCATTGCAAATATTCTTAAATTTTAGACCTTTAATTATTGTAGTTGGCATGCTAATAGAAGTTTATATGGAAGTTTTGTTATTACATTCCGCTTACATATGTATTAGCTTCAAGGTGTTTCAGTGGTATTGATCTGGTATAAATTAAAGATTGATAAAGAAAATTTTACGGAATTTTTCTTAGTTTCTAGCCAGTTAGTGTTGTTATGTTTTGGACCTTTTGGCATAAAGATGATGTTGGGGACGAACTTCTTGGTAATTTGCTTTCTCTTGTTACATTAGAACGTATCTGATATGATTGTAGATATTGAGCCAGTGTATATTGTACCAGAGTTGTTTAATATTGACCTAGAGTTTATGGTGTTATCAAACTGGGATATTCTCATATCAGTGATATAAATATGGCTATGAGTTTTGTAGAGTGAACCTAGAAGTATGTTTGTGTGGATCTATTGGTTTTGTAAGCATATTAGGATTTGAAATTGTCTTTAATCAAGTGTAGAGAAACTTGGTATTCTCTTTGCTGATAGAATCTCTTTTTTGGTTGCATAAAGGTTGATGCTGTTGTCTACCTTGTGGATGCTTATGACAAAGAGAGATTTGCAGAGTCAAAAAGAGAGCTTGACGCTCTTCTCTCGGATGAAGCCCTTGCAACTGTCCCCTTTCTGATTCTTGGAAACAAGATTGATATCCCTTATGCAGCTTCAGAAGATGAATTGAGGTATCACTTGGGTCTCACTAACTTCACCACCGGTAAGGGCAAAGTCGCACTTGGAGACTCTGGTGTTCGTCCACTCGAGGTTTTCATGTGCAGCATTGTCCGGAAAATGGGTTATGGCGAGGGATTTAAATGGCTCTCTCAGTACATCAACTAAGGACAGACGTCATGTCTTTTTCATATTTCAAAATTCAAACCAACCCCAAGAAGATTTTCCGTACAATTTGTCTATTTCGAGCTAAAAGATTTGTGATTGATGTCACATCCTTCCCTTAGAAGACTTGAACACTTTTTTCTCTTATTTGTTCTTTTTGTTGTTTTCTGTGTTAAACTTAAGTTTGGTGGCTTGCATTTCCAAACTTATTCATGTCTCTCGTCCACATTTTTGTCAACTGCTTATGTTTCATTGAACATTATTCCCAAGTTAGACCACCAACTTTTTTGAACATACTCACTTTATATATAAACGTGTGCCCTACACAAACCCAAAATCAAATCGATTCAACAATCAGTCTCTCTCCGTCTCTTTCTCTCCCTAAGCCATGGATGTTCCAAAGGTGTCAAGACTCTGGCTACTCTATGCAGTGTTGCTCTTTGATAGTCAGAGACATTCAGGTGCACTTTGGTCTTTCAAGTCTCAAGATTCTCTTTGTTCAAACACTCATTATGTTTATTTGGTTTGAGATTTTTGATGCAGTAAATGCGCAGGCTGGTGGTGTCATCGGGGGTGCAGGGATATTGGTACAGAGAGCCGCGTTCTGTTTCAACAATAACCTGGTAAGTATGATCGATGACAAAACCCCGTACATGAAAGGAAAACACTATTTGACAATAGTTTCTTTTCTTGATTTTTGGCAGCTCTACAGAGGGTGCAATGAGGCGTTCAGACTAAACCAAAGAGGTGAATTCAAGGTTCCACCTGAGGAAACAGACAGGTTCTGCAACGGTCCTTGTTCTGCAGAAACAGAACTCGTGCTTACATGCATTAATAGCGTCATGTCTGATTTCGTATTTTACAACCGGGCTACCCCGAGAGATGTAAGAAACGCCCTCCGTGGTGGCTGCAGCTCCTCTTTCACAAGAGGTTTACACCTAACTTTTCATCCTTACATATATATAACCATGAAACATGAACTTGACTTGAGTTTGGATATGCAGGGAACTTCAATGTGGGAGACTATGCTCAAGGACTCTATTTCGGCAAGGCCGGGAAGAAGCTGCCTGGATTGTTCGTTGGACTAGTTGTCGGGTTTGTACCATTGATCCTGTGAATCTAGTTTTGCAAACCATACACGATTATGTAAATGAGATTCCCCCCTCATTAAGATTTCTTTTTTTGTTACTCTGAAACAGATATTTCTTCTTCTTGTTTTTACGCAAAACCTACATAGAAAAGCTACGGTTAAATGTATCTTTTCATTTTACAGTTTGAACAAATATTTACACACTTTCTCTTTTGTTTCAATTGTCTGATGGCTTGTTAAATGTCGACGCTGATGTTTGCGTGGAATGGCACTTAGGCTTCTTCTTCAACTTCTTTGGACTCTCCATGTGAGAGACCTGCACAAATACTTTCTCATATTAGATTCCAAGTTCTCTTCTAATATTCAGACCAAAGGCAATTTAAATCACATATCATCCCAGAAAATGCCCACTGGTTAAGATATCGTCAAACTCATATTTCTAAGTACGCTTTGAAACCTGAAGATTTATCGTCTTGAATTACCAGATAGAAGATAAGGGCTTTTATAAGAAGTACTTACAATGTGAGATTTCCACTGGACTGTCTCTGAACTACTGTCATGTGGAGGATGATCGCGAACATGACGAAATATGTGAATCAGCACTGCAGCATCAAGAGCAGCATACTCAAGCTGCACAATTCAGTTAATATCAGATTCAACAATTACGCTCTCCAGCAATCATAACTCCATCAAGTTTAAGGCAGCCTCTAATTATATAACAATTTTGGTCCCTCATAATCATGAAAATGAAAATAAGAAACATTCTCCAGCAGTTTTTCTCGAGGTTCTAGCTAAACAGATAATGAATAAGATTGAATACCTGATTCTGGGTCAAAGGCCGTTGTTCCCAGTCGCTATTGCGTCTTGTTTTGTTCAAAGACACTCCCAATATTTTCTGATACAGAACAAAGAGTTTGAACAAGAAATGATGTTAAGATAATCCTATCGAAATGGTGACTCGGATGTAACATCAAACGATCTAGCAATTAATAGCTCACCTTCGTTAGTCCTGCTAAACCACCAAATGGTTCTTTAAAAACATTTTGAATGTCTAGCAACATGTCATATCGCTCGAAACATTTCAAATCCCCATATGAAAGCGCCAACTGCTTGACGTCACATTGAAAATTGTAACCTGAGGATTATTCATGATCATGGTAATCCTCAGTCAGAGAGACTCTTAATATGGCAGGCAAAAAAGGAGGAAGATAGATCTCATATATACCGAGCTTTAATGTACTCTTCGATTGCAAAATCTGACTAAGGCAGTTGTCCAGAATTTCAGAGGCGTCATTGTAAAGCTTTATCAAGTCCAATATGAAAATTTTGGTATCAGATCCAATTTGCATGATTGAAACCTGAAAACAAGAACAACAATGGTAAAAATACTACAGCATGTTAGGAATGGGAAGAGACTACGAGTAGTTACCTTGTTCTGTTTACTGCCTTTAATATAATTAGGTTTCCATTCACAGTCAATACCCACAACTCTACATCCTTCAAGAAAAGAAGTTGCATTTCTCAACTCATTGACTTCATCAACCCAAACCACATCTTCCACAGCTAGATCGTTGAGACGCAGAAAGCTTTTTTGAACAAAAGCAACCTCAGCCTCTGAACAAAATAAAGAGTACCATTGTAAGCTTCTTATAGTTTTGAAACACAAGGCAAGGTTCCGTGCAGCAATATATACCTTGTGCTTTTCGCAGACCTTGAAGTGAATATCGATCACACAGTTCATCAACCTTCTCCAAGTACCCAGCTTCCATTGCCAAGTATACCTTAAAACCCAACCAATATTTCAGCAAAACAGACGGTGATACAGAACATATCTCCCTATGAAAATAAAAAATGTCTTTAGACATTGATTATATGTACAACAAGTGCTTACCAGATACTTAAGAAGCTGTCTATCACCTTTTGTCTTATTTTCAGCAACATCCCAGCATGCTTTTTCTGCTAGAACCTTCAGAGCACTGCCAACCAATTGGAAAAATGTCATCTTTTAGTGTTAATTCTGTATATGTAAAAGATAAAGGAAGCTGTACACTGTTTACAAATGAGAAGCAACAGACACTGCAACAACCTTTCTTTACACTTATGGTACAATTCGGGAAAGTCCTGCTGGAGATAGTTCTTATTTATGACATTATAGGCCTGCTTTAGCATATTCCTTGAGCCATATTCTTGAACAAGAATGCATAAACTTGGCCTTCCCATGAAGGTAGCCCATCTCTCTGCAGCTTGGAAGTCTTTATCCTCAACCATTTGTCGAAGAAAAGTTTCTCCAGGGAAACGGAAAGAGAAATGCTCTAACAGAGTCACAGCCGTCATGAAAGATTTCGACTTGATCAAGTCAGAAATGTACTGTTCAAGAAACGCCCTTCCACAAGCAAACCCATAACCCTGCCAAACTTCCGAGATAGACAAAGCTTCATCGATACTAGTCAACCCCACATCAAACACTTTAAGAGTATGCATCATCACCTTCTCATCATAAGTTAAAGATCCTCCAACAGTAGCAAGAAAGAACTGAGCAGCTAATTTTCTAGCAGAAGACATATCTTCTTCACTTGTTGGTTCAGATACTGATTTAAAGAAGCGACGTAGCGCCGATATAACCAAATGACTAAAACCTTCACCATATACACCAAACATAGGAAGCACAGTGAGACACTTAATAATGAAAGTAGCAGGTCCTGGTTGAGGTTTATTAGCTAGAACTTGATGAACTCGATACTGCAAAGCTTGGAACTTTTTAGTTGCCTTCAAGCTACCTGAAATACCCATTAAGTTACTTAAACTAGAAAACAACAATTGGGTACTTCAAAAAGAAGTAAAGCTTAGGACTTACCATGTTTATAACATTCTTTGAGTAGATACAAGAACACAACAGGAGACACATAGGTTAAATCTGAAAATGAATGTAAACACATAGTTCCTTCTTTAGCTTTCTCATCTCTTTTGACCTCCAAATCAGCTTCTTCAGAATCCAAACCCATTATAGATAAATGCTACACAATTTCCTGATGTTTGTACAAAGATAAACATGTTAAAGTAGGAAAAAGATGATCTTTTACCAAATTAAGTAGTTAGAGATGACTTTTGTATATAAAAAACGAAACTTTGAATCATTTTCTCACCGGGAAATTGACTTTACCGGCGAGGAAGGTCGTGAGGAAAGAGAGAAGTTGAAGAGTTGTGAATAAATAAAGATGACTGTATCTTCTCTCTTAACGGCAAATCTCCGTCTGTTGACTCCGTTTATCCAGGTTTCAAATGAAAATTGATCTAATCTTTGAGGGTAATTTTGTCTTTTACAATATTTAACAAGCATTTTACGAACGAGCTTGGATTGAGCTAAAACTTTGCAGGAGTTTTCACGACTCATGGATTCAGGTCGTGGTTGATGGAGAAACAAAGTGGAGCTTAAGAGCATTTGGTTGCAGTTAAGATATTAAGTTACTCTAAATGAGAAAGAAGGAGAAGTGAGTTATTTCATCTAGTGGCTAAAGTGAAGATGGTATTTACGAAACATAGTATTTTTTTTTGTTAAGCGTATTAAGGCATGATATGTAGGCTTAAATTTGATTGTATATGATAAAATTATGTGACGATATGACTTGATGATTGTTGAGTTTGATATGTAATAGCATGATGTTATGAGAATGTTAAGTATAAGAATGTAAATATACAGATGTATATATGTTGTATGTGTGACTAGGGAGAATCGAGGTATGGGTTGTGGTCTCCTTAGTAATAAGGACAATGATGGACCGACGTGTTAGTAGCTGATCAAGAATGGTTGACGAGTCCGGAATGGGGGTGTTTGAGCCACGAGGGCTAGTCTCCACTCAGGAAATTCTAGTCATCACGAAGATGATTAGACCTAACGTTTTATATATGGTTATCTGGTTAAGATTAGTGTCATGAATGTTATTTTGTTTAACAAGTAAGACATGTTAGTGTTTAAATTTATATGTTATGATAATGTTTGTATAGCTTTATAAAGTTTCAGTGGACAGAGTTGATTGTCTTTACTAAGTAATTCTTTACTCGCCAGTGGCAGATCAAGAAACTATTTTTATATGGGGCACAATTAGGTATTGGCATAAAAATCGAAACCTGAAAACCGATCTAAACTAAATTGGATATTCATAAAATTTCAAACAAATTCTAAGGCCCTGAATGTTTTGTAGTTTTTTATTGGTTTTTAGATTCTAGTTTTTGGATTTTGGTTTTTGGTTTTTGATTTTTGTGGTTTTTGATTTTTGGTGTAGATTTTAGTTTTTGCAAAATCTTGAATGGTAATTTGTTTAGTTTTTAGTAAATGATAAAAATAGCATATTTAAAATAATAAAAAAGAATTAAAAAAAAGATTGACGTAAATTGTTTGGAAAAACCCACAAAACTTGGTTTTTGTTATAATACATCATATTGGACTTATAACCGGGCCCAATAAGCCCATCAGGGTTATTCATTATGTACTCTAAAACCCTAGGTTTATATGCCTATATATATGTATCATTATTCATGGAATGAGAAGAGACAACAATAAGTTTCACAACACGTTATCAGCACGAGTTTGCTCTTAACAACCCTAACCCTAAAAATCGCAAAACACTGTTCACGCAGACACTGTTCATCGGTACTGTTCACCGATACTGTTCGCCGACACTGTTCATCGGTACTGTTTATCGACACGGTTCGCCGATACTGTTCGCCGATACTGTTCATCGACACTGTTCATCGGTACTGTTCATCGACACTGTTCATCGGTACTGTTCATCGACAGCGTGAGTTACCGAGGTCTTAAGCTCCCGGTTCAATCCGTTCAACCCCAATTGGTGAAAGGTAAAAACAAAACCTTAAAAGCTTAAAGATCAAAAATCGAACTTGAACCTAATGCAAAGCGAAATCTTAAAAACGGATAATGATTGATTAAGTGATTGCTTTTGCTTGTATGATTCGATTGCTTGACTCGTTTAAGTTGTTAGAAAAGTTATTGCTTAAACCTAACTCTCAAAATCGAAAACACTTAGCCATGGCTGAAACCTTAAAACCTAAATCAAATCAAATCCGAAATCCCTAAAATATAAATCGATTGATTGAGGTTGTTTAGGTTGTTTAGATTGATTATTTCTATGATTGATTGCATGCATAAATTGATAGAAATCAAAACCTAAAATCGCATGAACCCTAAAAACGTTTTGCGTTTGAAAACCGCAAAATTCAAATCGTTTTCCTCAAAGAGAAACGAAAACCCTAATTCGTGTATCCCCTAAACCGGAAATCATTCTTGGTTAACCCCTAAACCCGAATATCAATTCGGTTCATCGGTTAAACCGATTATCAAACCGGTTCCGAAAATAATAACCGGATCTCAATCTGGGTAAACCGGTTCAAACTGGTTATTCTAAACCGGAAATCAATTCGGCCCAACTTTAAACCAGAATCTAATATTCCGGTTCAACTTTAAACCACTAAACCGAACTTATGTTCTGTAAAACCAAACCGTATCCTTAAAATTTACGATTTCCGAGAAAGTTTCCTAAATTAGAAGGTTTCCCGAAATAGAAACTTTCCTCAAATAGAAACTTTCCTCATTTAGAAGGTTTCCTCAAATAGAAACTTTCCCCATTTAGAAGGTTTCCTCAAATAGAAACTTTCCTCATTTAGAAGGTTTCCTCAAATAGAAACTTTCCCCATTTAGAAGGTTTCCTCAAATAGAAACTTTCCTCATTTAGAAGGTTTCCTCAAATAGAAACTTTCCTCATTTAGAAGGTTTCCCTCAAATAGAAACTTTCCTCATTTAGGAGGTTTCCTAAAATAGAAACTTTCCTCATTTAGAAAGTTTCCCAAATTAGAAACTTTTCTCAAATAACAAACCCCTAATGAAATCAATTTCATGTTTTCAGATGTCAAACATTCAAAAAGTCGAGTTCGAGGCCCTCAAGGTCTCCGGTGAAAACTATCTCGAATGGGCCATGGACACCAGGATTTTCCTCAACTCAAAGGGACTGGGTGAGTGTATCAAAGCGGATAACACCGCATCTGATAAAGACCGGTCCCAGGCGATATTTCATATCCGCCATCATTTGGCCGCAAGCCTCAAACAGCAATATCTCACTCTTGAGAACCCACTCGAACTTTGGGTGGCCCTGAAAAAAACGGTATGATCACCAGAAAACGGTGCTCTTGCCACAAGCCAAGTTTGACTGGAAGGAACTCCGGTTCCAAGATTACAAATTTGTGGATGACTACAACTCCGAACTCTTTCGGATAGTTTCAATCATGAAACTATGTGGTGAAGAGGTGTCTGATAATGATCTCCTCGAGAAAACATTATCCACCTTCCATACCCAAAATATTGTGCTTCAGCAACAATATCGTGCAATGAAACATACATTGTACGAAGATTTGTTATCCTGTTTGCTCTTGGCCGAGAAAAACAATGACCTGTTAATGAGGAACAGTGCCCAGAGGCCCCCGGGATCGGCTCCAGTACCAGATTCCCGCAAAGAATCCTACAATGTCCAGCGAGACAGATCCTCAGATCGTGGCCGTGGACATGGGAATGGACGTGGAAATGGACGTGGCAACCGACATAACCTCGGTTATGGTTCCGGTAAGGGCCGTGGTATCTCTAAACCAAACCGCCCTGCCCACCCAACCAATCAGCCTGCACCAGATGCGGAATGTTCAATCACTGGACAAAGAACTGTCGTACTCCCAAGTTTCATTACGATTTGTATCAGAAACATGGGAAAGCACCTGCTGAAGCTAACATGGCCCAGCAAGTTGATGCTGACGTCACCACCACCGAGCCGACCGATCCCATAGACTACGAGATCTCAGATCTCCTCAATTGATCCTATCATCTGAACATGTGTTGTTATCAAACGGCACACATCTGGACATTCCAGATGCATTATACTCACCCAGCTCAAAAAGAAATCTTTTGAGTTTTAAAGATATCAGACTTAATGGTTTCCACATAGAAACCCAGGGTGAAAGGAACAAAGAATCCCTACTGATCACTAAGATCACACTTGGCCATAAACAAGTCCTCGAGACTATACCCACATTATCTACTGGCCTTTACTATGCTAAGGTCAGTATGATTAAGGCTAATAATGCTCTCAAAGCCCGATTCCAAGACTACACTATTTGGCACGACCGGCTTGGTCATCCCGGTACGACCATGATACGTAAATTAATCCAAAGTTCTCAAGGACACACCCTTCGAGAAAACCGAGTCTTCCCTCAGCACCTCATGTGCACAGCTTGCTCCCAAGGGAAGTTGATCACTCGGCCTTCACCAGTAAAAGTGTCCAAAGAGACATTACATTTTCTGGAAAGAATCCAAGGAGACATCTGTGGTCCCATTCACCCACCTTCTGGGACATTCCGGTACTTCATGGTACTAATAGACGCTTCGACCCGTTGGTCGTATGTCTGCCTATTGTCTTCTCGGAACCAAGCTTTTGCTAGGTTGTTGGCTCAAATCATCAGATTACGAGCCCATTTTCCAGACTTCCCACTAAAGACTATACGTCTTGACAATGCTGGTGAATTCACTTCCCAAGCGTTTAATGATTACTGTATGGCCATGGGGGTAACCGTTGAACATCCTGTGGCACATGTCCATACTCAGAATGGACTTGCTGAATCATTCATTAAACGAATCCAATGGATTGCTCGACCATTACTCATGAGGTCGAAACTCCCGGTCTCAGCTTGGGGACATGCAGTATTACATGCTGCTGAATTAATACGCATCCGGCCATCTAGTGAGCATAGATATTCCCCATCCCAATTATTAACGGGTCATGAGCCAGACATCTCCCATCTCAAAACATTTGGGTGCTCAGTCTATGCACCCATTGCTCCACCACATAGAACCAAAATGGGACCTCAAAGGAGGATGGGAATATATGTTGGTTTTGATTCTCCCACCATCATCAAATATCTCGAGCCGACCACTGGAGACCTATTTAAGGCCAGATATGCGGATTGCCAATTTGATGAATCGGTATATCCAACATTGGGTGGAGAGAAACACAAGCTGGTCAAAAAGCTATC